CTCATCACAATGTCGTCACACTGTGATTGTATGCAGAATGGTGCAAGGAAGGGATTTACTGATTAGCACCTCGGCACCTCCGGAATACGTAGAGTGGTGGCATGCACCGCCTGCTGTATCCAGGGGTGCCCCAGAGCCAACACCCTACTCCCATCTAAATGGGTCTCCAGCAACAGTACAATATGTGGTCTAAGTTGTTTCAGATAATTACACACCAAGGATCTCTTAAACTTATTGTTTAAACCCTGTACATTCCAGGAGACCACCATCACCATCCAAACCCATGATACCACATGACACATAGAAATGGAGACAGCTCCTGCATTGGCTGAAGGTGGGATCCAGGACGACACACAGCCCCCCAGAGCCCAATAAGAACAAAACAACCCCTCTTCCCAAGGAAACATATTAAACAGAACTTATCTCCTGCTGTGCAGGAGATAAGGAGCAAGGCACGCCTACAACATCGAATGCAGCCCAGCTCCGGAGGCTGCCAGAGGCACATGTCATGTATTCAGCAGTTGGTCAGTAGGCAAGGACAAAGAAAAGAAATGCTAAGACCATCAGAAAAGATCCAGGATCTTTGGCCACCATAACCGAGCACCGTAGGTCATTCCGCAGGATAGATGGTTCAGGAACAAAACAAACAGAGTAAAATGTAGGAAAGCCCACAAAACACGGTATCAACAAAAGGAAATGCTCATCCCAGCATATCCAGCCACTCATTTGCGGATATAGGTGTATCAAACATGCGGACCGTGCCAGAGTGGGGTACCCGAAGCCTGCTTGGATACAGCATGTTGTATTGGATGCCTTTCTCTCGAAGACGGCGTCGCACATCCAAAAAGGATCTCCTCCGTTTCTCAATCTCAGCCGAGAAAACAGGGAAAAGGCGTACCGAGGCATTCTCATGGCGAAGGTCAGGATATTTTTTGGCTGCTGCCAACACTCTGTCCCGATCCCGATAATTAAGGAGACATACCAGAAATGGTCGTGGAGGGGCCCCAGGGATCGATTTACTGGTGGGGACTCTATGGGCCCTCTTGACCACAAAGGTGGGGGGCAAGTCTTCCAGGGCCAGCACGGTTTTAAAGAAGGCTTCTGCAAAAGAAGCAGGCTTTGGGCCCTCCGCTCCTTCAGGCAGGCCCACAATGCCCACATTGTTCCTCCGCATTCTGTTTTCAGAGTCATCCACCTTTGCCGCCAGTGTCCTGACTGTGCGTTGCAGGTCCTGGATAGATGTAGCATGATCCCGGATGGAATCCTCCACCGCCAGGGTCTGTGATTGTATGCAGAATGGTGCAAGGAAGGGATTTACTGATTAGCACCGAGGCACCCCGGGAATATGTAGAGTAGGTGGCATGCACCGCACCCAGGGGTGCCCCAGAGCCAACACCCTACTCCCATCTAAATGGGTCTCCTGCTACAGAACAATATGTGGTCTACGTTGTTTCAGATAATTACACACCAAGGATCTCTTAAACTTATTGTTTAAAACCCCGTACATTCCAGGAGACCATCGTGATGTCATCCAAACCCATGATACCACATGACACATGGGAATGGAGACAGCTCCCGCATTGGCTGAAGGTGGGATCCAGGACGACACACAGCCCCCCAGAGCCCAATAAGAACAAAACAACCCCTCTTCCCAGGGAAACATATTAAACAGAAAATCAACATTGTCCCGGGAACAATGACAACATTGTCTCAGCCTGAGAGAGTCTTCCCCCTGATCTTGTCTAAATAATGCCTGATCAGCGTACATTCTACAGCCAGGTGGTCTATTTTTGCTGTGAGAGCTATTTTGCAGCCCTCAATGGCTTCCAGGATTGTTTTAGTCCCAGCCCTCTCATAACCTGAGGTCGAAGGGGTGTCAGGCAGGTCCAGAGGGACATCCACAGCATTTGCGGCTTCCCCCTACATAATGCGAGCCAAGCACACGCAGGCAGCAAGGGAAGGAGGCAAGATGGCGGCGGACCAGCACGAGGCCGCACGCTGAGATTTCCTTCGGCCTCTTTTTGGCTTGTCCGTGCGTTTAGCGGACCTGGAGGGCATGTCACCCGGCACCGGACATCCACCGAAGCCCAGGTGAGCAATTCAAAAGCTGAACGAGCAGGATAGAGACCGGATATATTTAGTGCAGCGGCAGAGCTCCCTCAGACACGTCCGCGCTGCTTCACATGCTGGCCACGCACCCCATAAATGTATAAAGTTATATTAACCCCTTCGTGACTGACGACGTACAGTGTACGTCGCCAGCATCGGGGCTGTTTAAACAGACTCCCGGTGACTGTTGCCGCTGGAACTCTGTTTAAACTTGTAGAGCCGACTGTCGGCTTTACAACAGAAGCGATCCTGGCGACTTACCTGTCGCCAGATCGCTTCTGCGTCCCGAAG